GGTACGATGGCTCCGCCCACCAGGAACTGTAACCAGGGTGAGCTAACCTCGGACAAACAAACAAAGACGGCTGTAGTGGAGGAGGTAGAGAAGCTCACGGTGTTACCTGAGCCCTCATTAGCCAACATCAAGACAAGACAGAAAATACAACTTGAGTTACACTGCTAATGTTTTCATGTCGCAGAGTAGAGCTGTCATTTCTAACCTGAACCGGACCGACCCCAATCCGGGCCGGTCCGTTTTAATGTGATTAATGTGGGAGCCGGACCGGTCTCGGGCTTTGATGCAAATACGAATCATACAGAGCTAGGCCTGTCGTGATAAACGATAAATCACTTATCGTTTCTTCACGTGTCTCTTTCTACTGAAGACACTGGATGACAAAAGGCTCAACTTCAGTTCTTCACTGGCCCCGCCCTTTCTCTTTAAAATCTGTTTTAATGTCCAAAATCACGTTTTTGTATCGTTAAAAGCAGCTAAGCTAACAGGCTGACCTCGGGGAAAAAACCTCCATCTTGTCGAAGCTCCAAAAATTCGATATAAGAAAAACTCTAACAAAAATATACTAAGCACTAGTAGCATAAAGACAATAAACCGAACAGCAGCGCTCACGGTTGAAACCCGTGCCTTTTGTGTAAAAAGTTGTTTTTCTCTGCAAAAAGAAGCTGAGAACTTGTTTACTATTTTTTATTAAAAGCTTTGTGTGACAAATGCTAAAGAGCTCAAAACACACCGAGCATCCGCCATTTTGAGAACTGAAAAACAGGAAGGACGGACAGCCCATGTCACGTCAAGGGGCCTCCCTCACATTTTTCTTAAAGAGACACACTGCTCGCTCCCTCACTATCCATCCTTCAGTTCAAACTGTCTGATACTGCCATCCAGTGGTGAAAAAAGGTACTACACTCAAAACAAATTAACCAACATTTCTTATTAAATTTGACAATAATGACTGTTGTCAAATTTCTAACAATATTATTGTTTATCGCAATAATTTGAGACAATTAATCGCCCAGCAGGATTAGTTATCATGACAGGCCTATACAGCACGAAGTAAATAAGACTGCACAATATAAAACTGTGTTAATCTACCTGAGGAGGAGGAGGCAGGTCCGACCGGCCGCTTTAAAGAGGTCAAAGAAGTTGTGTTAAGCTCAGATGGACAACGTGTCGCCGTGCGTCCTCTGATCCACCGGTTGAAATGGACTGGAGACGTGTCCAGGGTGTCCCCCACCTTTTGAGTGCGAAGTCCAACCACGAAGTAACGAGGGACTACAGTGTATAAAGAAAAATGAGCTTTCACTACACAAAGACGGTCATTAAAGACGCTTTTAATTATATCAGCATTTTAAAATGTGAAATCTTTTGATTAGCAGATGTTGTTAGTTTAAATCATGTGTCAAACTCAAGACCCGGGGGCCAAATGTGGCCCTTGTTGACATCTTCTCTGGCCCCGAAGATGATGTGTGAAACGTAAAATACTTCTATCTATATAACAGAACATCAAATGAGACCAATCCAACTCTTGTTGAGGAACCTGTTGAGGAACCTGTTGAGGAACCTGTGACCAAGAGAAGATGCTGAAGACTGATTTGAGTTCATGGAGATTCTGAAACCGGCCCTTAATTTGAAAAATCTTTTAATTTTGGCCCCCTTTTGTGAGTTGGACACCCCTGACATGAGTCGCCGTGTTTGTTCCGGCCGCCTGGGGAGCGTTGAACCTTCTTCAGAGAAGGTCCTCAAAGTTTTGGGTCATAAAAAGTTTTATTCAGTTTATTTTTGTAGCTCCGAGTTAGAGCTGGACAATAATTCGATATATCTCGTGATATTCTTTTATTCAATAACGATGATCTGAGTTTTAAGCACATTGTCGATATTTCGATGGGATTACAGCTTTTTCTGTTCGGGTTGAAGCGGCCACCTCAGTTTCAACCCGGACAGAAAAAGCTGCGACACAACTACGTGTGCGCGGTGACGTAATGTTACGCAGAGCTCGAGTCCAGAAGGCGTTAGTGGTAGCATGCTAAGCTAGGCTAATCTCCAACGCGAGTTAAGTTTTCTCTTCAAAATGAGTTCCATGATCGTCAGAATGTGACTGAACAACTTCCACAAGTGAAGAGAAGCAGATGACATCACTGATAAGAGAGGAAAGACTAATTCGCTGGTTTGGAAGTCGTTCATCTTTCTAAGATCCAATAAACTGCAGGTTTCAGTCAGTGTGCTGCAAAATGTGACGGAGACTCGTTCTAACTCGCGGTGGGAACATCGAACTCGTTCCACCTGACAGAAGATGATGAGTCACAAGATGAAGCTCAATAAAAGTTTGAGCCAACGTGTCCCTGAAACACCCCCAGCGCTGCAGGTTTTTATCATTAATTCATTCATTTAAAATAAAACAAATTCATCAGAAAGAAAAAAATAATTCTTATCTGCCCCTAATTTAAAAACTACAAAATAACTACAAACAAACAACAACCTTGACTTGAACAATCTCCAAACTGAAAACAAAAAACTTCAGGTATCCTTCACCTGGTACTAACCCTTCCCAACAACTTTAACTATCATCTTTTTAAACATATAAATTTATCATCTTTTTAAACATATAAATTTAACTATCATCTTTTTAAACATATAAATTTAACTATCATCTTTTTAAACATATAAATTTAACTATCATCTTTTTAAACATATAAACTTTAGCTATCTTCTTTTTAAACATATACATTTAACTATCTTCTTTTTAAACATATA